TCCCTACACCAGACAGGGCAGCAGCCTCTTCCTCAGCTGCACAGTCCCAGCAGCAACTCTTTCAGGGCACGAACTGCATGAAAGTTCCTAATTTCTAGCTCATGACATAGAGAATATAAGACACTTGCATTACAAAGGAATTAAAATTGAAAAATCAATCTTGAAATGGGATGCCTCAGAATAAGATGTATGCTCTGCATGTCATCTTTTTAGAGTTGGGACACTGCTCTGGAAGAGAGGGAGAAATAAATCACACTCCAGGCTTTTCAGATTTCTCAAAAAGGACCCAGTACTTTCAAACTCCTTCGGGTGTCAGAAAGCAAATGTGCTTTTCATGACTCAAGTATCACTGGGTTTGCTTAAGGCAGTTTGGTTTTGCATATTATGAAAAATAACTACATGAGAAAGACAAACAATGAGAGAGATGGATGCAACACAAGGAAACTGTTGGGCAAACAAAAGGAACCAAAGTGAAGAAAGCAGTGTTTCCTTTTTGTCTGTAGAGTTGCACAAATGAGGGAGGACTCAGCAGATGCAAAGCAGAGCAGCAGGTTACTGTGCACCCCACTTACTGCTAAAAGTAAGTATTTTAATTTCATCCTTACATCCAGAAGATGTGGAACCCAAATGAGAACAAATCACTTACAAGGGGAGGAATTCTAGCAAATAAATCCAAGAACAAAACCAGCATATTCCACATAAAAATCTCTACAAGTCTCTTGCAACCATTATTTATGGCATTTTACATAACACAGAATATTTACCTTCCATGGAAACTTAATTATCAAGTCTCAACCCCATCATCCAAATTTTCTGCAGTTCTTTTAAGCTGGAATTGGTGAGGGAAGAAGGGGACATTGCCACGTTCATCTTCATTGTAAGAACAGAGGTAACCTAAGCTTATCAGAGTACATCATGACTTTGAAGTCTCTTCAGCAGCACATTTATTTGTAAATCACCAGAGAGGACAACAACACGTAGCTCAAACTGACCATTACCTAAGACAGCAAGTTTATGTTACCAATACACAAAATTATCCAAACTTTTTCCTCACAACACCACATGTTACTTGCTTAGAAGAGGTGAGAACCAGGGCAGCTCCCCACACAGGGCAGGCAGCAGCAGGGACATGCCCCATCTCCCCACTTTTTAAAAGAAAACAAACACATGGCACTTACTTTTCATTAGTTTTCCTGACAAGTCTTTTAGTGCAGAGGAGGGGCTGTTTCTATTTGATCCTGTAAGCTTGGAAGATTCTTGCTGATCAGCTGGAACAGAATGGGTCCCTGTCTCAGATTTTCTTAGACAAAGAACACTGGTATTGTCACTCTCCTGCCCCGAGAGCATGTGGTTCTGGCTGTGGCCAGTCCTGTTATTCTTGTCTGAAGTCCCTGGCTTGGTCCTGAGCAGACGGACTGTGCTAGAATCCTCCAGCCTCTCCTCAAGCAATCCAGTTGGAGAAGAGGATGCCATTTCCTGCTGTTTGGATGGTGACACTGGCTCTGCCAATGAGCTCTGCTTCACGGTGTTCAGGCTGTGTGCTCTGATGCGGGACCAGGTTGTGGAGTGGAAGCTTTCAGCCTCTAACCAAAACTTCACCAAGTGTTCCATCCTGCGCAGTTCCATGAACTGGATAAAATAAGGGAGGGCTACATTGTCCTGCAGAACTTGTTCCAGGGTCTTGGACAGGCTTGATTTGGTCTCTTCAGCCTGATAATTCAGACAGGATCTGCCTAAAAAAAAATAAGTATCAAGGGAGTGACTCCACACTGCACTAGACAGGGGCATTTGACACAGGAGTATCCTACGAGGCAGCTGGTGAAGAGACAACTCCAACATAATGGTGGCACACAAAGTGAAGGAACCTCTGTTAACAAACAAATGCACTGTTCCCATTCAAATCCTTTCTGGGGTAACACAGATGCTATTGTAACAGCAGGCAAATTTTTAACTACCTGCCTGAAAACCAAAGGGTAGTGAATACACCAATAATACACACAGAATGAAAAGCAAAGCTGATGTGATGAGAGAGCTGAAGAAGCTTTACCTAAGTCTCCAAAATGAGCAGCTTCCATGTGACTTGGCTGCTTCTTGAGGGCAGCCGTCCGGCTGCTGGAAAATGAGTCCATGTTGGCAGAGATGGCGTTGATGGCCACATGGCTTGGTCCTGCAGCCTCCAGCAAGGCATGATTTCTAGTGCTTCTCTGAGGGGAATGTACTGGTATTGGAGCTGCAATCAAGACAGGAATGATTAAAAGGATCCTCAGGCCTCTTCTAAGCAGTACCCAGTGCTAAGCACCCCAAGATAAGCCAGTTTCAAGAGTCAATTATACAAGTGGTACCACCACTTGTCATCTTTGATCAAGGGTCTGATACAGGGAAAGACCACAGAAATGAACAAGTGTTATTGCAGCAAGAATAAACTCACTTCCAAAAGCTCAGTGGTACCCACCCACCTGCATTTCCCTTCTTCAGTAGCTAATCAAAAGGCGCCAAGTCTAAGATTGCACATGAAATATTATTCCTGAGCCTTCCTGCTTCCCTGATAACGGCTATCGGAACAGCCTAAGGCTTTGTCAACAGCCCAGCTTGGCTGCAACGTTCTTGCCAATCCATTTCCATTCCTTTTTGAAGGCTAGAAGGTGTTACAAAATCCTCAACTACAAAGTTACCCGTGAGATTTAACAGGAATATTTTTTTTAAATATCCTTTGCCTCTTCTAGTTTAAAGAGGCAACAAGCAATGCAGAAATACCTCTGCTGACATCCAGGTGACAACCTTAGCCTCCTCTGGCTACTGAGCTTAAAAAGAACAAAAGAGAACTTCCTCACATAAACCCTGCCAGTGAAAAAGCTTCAACTAATTGCTTATTGATGACCAAGATGGAAAAAAAACCAAACCAAAACACCCTCACAGCAGTTTCAAAAGGTCTCAGGAAATGGCATTAGGATATCATGTGAGGACATCTTACACCTCTGACTCCCAAGGAAGTCAGATGACACTATCTCAGCACCCTACTTCCTATCAACATAGTTCATCAAGGTGTCAAGCAACTTGGTTTTGATGACTTCCATGCTGCAATTCCACAAGTTCATGACACCTGATGACAGAAGTTGACAATGTCAAATTTGCACGTCATAGTAACAGATACATTAGGAGCAACAGTTCAGGGGAGTGAACATGTAGAAGTTATTGCCTTGCCAAGTGTCCCTCCAGCTGCAGTGTTTGGTGCCCAGACACACCTGCTGCCTCTCACAAAGCCTTTGGTATTTAATACCAGCAATAACTGAGAAAACACTTTTTCTCCCCAGGCCAGTGGATGGCAGCCAGTCCCTTGGCTGATGACAGGAACTGGGGACAACTTGCTGGAGGCTATGGGAGCAGAACCAGAGCCACACTCCTCCTAACAGCTCAGTCTTTGGTGAAGTGGATTCAAACTTCATTTTAGACAATGACCATTTGAGGAAAAATTGGTTTACCTAACATTGAGGATCAAATGCCTGTTCCAAAACCTCCAGGCAGTGCTAAAAGGCTAACCTAACATCACACAGACCATGGAGCAGCTGCTTGTCTAACTGGAAAGATGTTCCCTGTCTGCAGCAGCTCACAAGGTGTCACACATTTCCAAATGTATTTTTATTTACAGGTAATTAAATTACTCTTTTAGCTGCTCATCAGAGATGGTAACTGCACTGAAGTCACAGGCTGTGCTATTAAGTGGATGCAACTTATATTTCCTACATCTTAATTGAAAGACAAACCCCAGCAAGGTGAGAAAAGCCTTTAATTTTCTCCCAGACAACACATTAACAAGTACAGAAGCAGGATTTTGTCTGAGGATATAAAAGCAACAGATCATATTCACACAAATTACCTCATCTCCTTTTAGTTTTGCAATAAAAACTGACAGGATAAATAATCTTGTTTTCCTGTGGTTGATAAACTTCCTTCCCATCAAGGGTGTTTTTTTTTCCTCTCCTAACAGATTTAGCAGCAAGATTTCTGTACCACATGGAGCAGCTTGGGACAGCTCTTCATTCTGACCAAGACTCAGATCTTCAGACTCACAAGCCACATCAGACAAAGGTAGGGCAGACACTGGCAGCTTCTTTTGCAAAGCAGAGTTAAGCTGCTTTTTCACAACTGCAGAGCACACTGCAGACAAGCAAGAAACTTCAGAAGCAAATTCCTGTAGATAAGGAATAATCACTATTTGCAAGGTGACTGAATTGCATGATCATTTGGAATTAAAGCTCATGTCTGACACAATGTAATAACCTCCTGTACTTACAGATTCAGCAAGATGACTAGGAAAGATTAGTTACTATAAATAGTCAGAAAGAGAAGTAATTTTTGGGATTGTTTTTAATGGGATAGGTCACATCTGCACTCAGCTGTAAGGAAATGAACTCACTGCTTAAAATAAATACGGCATATTACATTAGATATCTGAATTTATAGACAGACTAAGTATTGATCTTACTTTTAATTGCTTTCACATCTGTGGACTTTTCTTGTTCTTTGCCTTTCACTGTAAAATACAAAGAAAAATGTTAATGCTATTTTGGGTGACTAGTGACACCAGAGAATGGACACAAAATTCCAGCTTCAGCAAGTATCAAAGGCAGATGTAAACTGTCATTTTGTTAAAACTAATCTCTCCTATTTAAATCTGCACATCTAGAAACCAACAGAGGCTTTCAAAGCTTTACTGTTGGGTTAATTTGAAAAGCAAAACCTTGCAAAATCATCCATGAATTAAGTTTAACGAAAAAAACAGTGTGTTAAAATTAACATTGATAAAGGTGTTTGCTGTCTGCATGATGAAAGCAAGGCAACATTCAGGGTTACTCTAATAAAAAGCATTAGCTGGAAAGAATTACAGGTGTGTTCTAAGAGCAGGGTGTTGGCAGATGCTCTTGATGAACTAGAAGTCATGCACCTAAAAACATCATCTCCCACAGCAGAGAGATGTACATGGAACCAGCCCCTCCTCAGCCAGGCTGGATCCCACAGAAATGTTCAGGAAACACATTGCAAAGAGTTAATTCTCTCACAAATTACACTGTTGAACCACCAGACAGCCCATGACAAGCAACTATGGGGAAGGGAAGAGTTAAAATAAGTTGTGAAGGAAAAGGAAAAAAAAAGGAAGTTCCTAAAGGAACTGAATGAATTGTGTTTAAAATGAAAATCAAGAAGCTGAAGGAGAACATAAACAGGATGGCACGAGAAACAAATTAAGTAGTGATATTGAACATGATCTGCTAACAAACCTCTGGCTGCTCCAGGCTGGGACTATTCCCACAAACAGGTCATCTTTGAACACCCACTGTGAAGTCCTTCCAAACCCCACAGCTCATAAGGCAGCACAATCAAACATTTGCATCACAAAACATGAGTAGGTTAAAGCACAACAACCACCCAAACCCCTTCCTCTTCTGCCCTGAGTCTGTTGGATATTTGCAAGGGAATCTCGGCTCTGGTTACACAACAGGAGCCCATCAGAGCCAGGCTGAGCTGCCAGCCCTGCCGGCCACCAGAACCAGCCCCGCAGGGCTGGGAACTGGCAACTCAGCATTTCAGCTGGGAGCTGCAGCCAGCTCGTGCCCCCTCTGACAGAGGGGTTTAAGCCTCCATTAGAAGGACAGGATTCTTTCCAAGCTGCCCCTCGTGCAGCTGGGAATAGTGGGAATAACCAGCTTTTACATAACTGAGACGTGCTGAGATGCAGGAGAAAAACCACTGAAAACCATCTGTGTGTCTGAGGGAAGACTGAGGTGAAACGGGGTGAAGCCACCTCTACACAGCATCACAACTGCCTCATCTTTCCAAAATTACTCCCACAGTTGAATAATGGAATTGACCTAAACTACAGGGAACGATTCCTGAGTTTCAGAGTTCTACATAAGCCTATTTTCAGTTTAAATACATCTGTTCCTTCTTACCAGCTACACAGTTCCTCTCTAATTATGTACTTATTACTTGTAATACAAACTCCTGGTTCATGTTCCCAACCTCTTTGCACAGAGGCTCCTTTTGTCCCCAGCAGTTTCAAGCAGAACAAAACTAAGCAGTTGAGAGCAGAGCACAAAATAAAACTCCTACACATGACAAGACCAGATTTTGGAGGGTGAAGTTTCACTAAGGAATTTTCTTTCACTTTCCTCAAAAAGAGGATGTCACTGGATGTCTGTGAGAAGCCAGAGGTGACCCTGGTACCTCATGGGGGACTAACTTTGTGAGACCTTCCAGGAGTAACGTGAGATGGGAGCATCTTAATTCACATCTTGAAATACAGAAGAATGAAGAGACCTGACCTGTTCACCCCCGAGAACACAGAAAGCAAGATAAGAGCATCAGAGGTCACAGCTCCTGGGACTGTGCACGTTACTCCCAAGATCTCCCCAGGGACTCAACACACAGTCTGGCTGTTTCCACTGATAACAATTTCATTATCTCCCCTCAAGACCCCAGCTGCTGGTCCAACTGTCCCAAGTTTAATTGCTCAAGCTATTCCCACCCTCAGTTTTCTGGACCTTCATTTTAAGGCACATACTAAGAAAACGATTTCACTATTATTTTTGAGATTTTTCTACATGTTCTCACTTTGAAGAATTGTTTTTCTTTTTACCCAACCCCACCACTTCAACCCAAGGCCAGGGATGCTTTTATGTGGTTTCGGACTGCATGTGTCTAGTCTTGAGTTCTATCACAAGCCTTAATTTGTTGCTTTTCTCCCAGCTGCAGCTTAAGATCCTCTCTAAAAGCCAGGATCTAAAATGCAGATGATAACAAACAATATTATTTCCCATACAACCCAGATGAAAGCTCACTTCTCTCTTCACCAGTGCCTCTCTTGGGCATTTAGTTCTGACTGTGCTTCTCTGACCAAAGATCCTTTAATCAAAGTAACACAGACACTGAATTAGGCATCTTGGTATTTTCTCCCTGAGAAAGTTTCTGCCAAATCTTACACTGCTCCTATAATTACACATCAGGATGGAACATCAGCTCCATAATTCTCATCAACCAAAGAGCAAAGCTGTATTTGAGAAGTTTATAAGCAGTAGGAAAGCTTTATTCTGCTGCTTGAAATGAGATCTCAAAAGGATTGTGGCACTTGCAGAACCTTCTGCAGACTTCAAGAGTCTTCAGAACTACTCCCAGGAACAGAAGGTTAAAGTCATTTCTTCCAGGATTGCTGCACTAACCTCCACAGAGCATGAGAAGTTTGATGCAGGTACTTGGGCTCAGAGCCCTGGAGCAGCCACTGCTGGAAGAGCAATGGTTCTGTTGCATCAGGAGATAACAGAACCACTTTCCCAAGGGGCCCTTCCTAAAAGGAGCCACTTCCAGTAAAACCCCCTCCAACCACACATTGTGCAGATCCAAAGTGCATGACACCACATCTCAGCACAAGTTCCTTCCAAACACTTCACTCTCAAAGAACATTTAAGCTACACTCATTTGTGGAACAGGAATACTATAAATATTTCAGGAGCCCGACATTTCAAACCTTCTCTTGTGCTCCATTAGATCAAAACACACATTATAAAATCCTACAATGGTTTGGGAAGGAACCTCAAAGATGCTCCAGATCCAGGGACGCCTTTGGCTTGTGCGAAGCCACCAGCCCCATCAGGGGCTGAAGCTGCTGCTGTGACACCCCCAGGCTGTGGTGCTGTTTTACAGAACCACGCACAGCAGCATCGGGGGGGAATAAACCTGTACGTTCTTAGAGAGGCTCAAAAACTGCGCGAGGCGCGAGACGCTGCCCCCCGGGGCCCCAACTGCCCCCCAACAACTGCCCCCCGGGGCCCCAACAACTGCCCCCCAACAACTGCCCCCC